AATTTTGCCAATTTTTGGCTTCTTGAGAAGAAATGATGAATTATAGCTCACGCTTTTGTGTAAATTTACATAAAAACGTGAGCCCGTCAGCCAAGTTATCAGTAATTTCTGTACGAGAGGAGTAAATTTTCGCAAAACTATTTTTGTCGTAACAATGCATGGTTTATTCTGGTGGGAGTGAAAATTAGAAAGAAAAGGGTGAAAAAAGAACTTAAGTATGTACATGGCTGAATAGCTTCAAAGATACATTGGTTCCTTTTCCTTTGGCACAATCAAGTCCGCGATAATAGATATAATTACCTTTTCACGTTTACAAAGCGTTAATCAAAAATTAGCATACTTTTCCCTCCACATTAAACAAAGTGAGCTACTTTGATGTAAAGTAAACAATAGCGTTTTTATTAATGTTGGTGAATGATATTTTATTCGTCGACCACTGGTAACTACGTTACTACGTTCTCAACATAAGATTAAAGTTAAGTCGTTGTTAGGAAGAATGGCTTTTTTCTTGTTATTTTACCACGTATAGGGCGAAAACCTAATTGGATCTGAAAACCAGCTCGGTTTTTTCAGCTCATAATCTAAATAAAGAAAAGATAAAACAGACTATACTCGCTACCCTCGCCTACATTTGCACAACAAATCAACGGTCTTCCATCTACTCACCAAAACCCAAATCAGTACACCAGCCACGGATGACATTAAGAACGCCATTAAAACCACTGGCCATGTTCCAAACACAGCTTTGAATACCAAGTTCCATTTTTTAACCGTGGAGGAATGAGGGGCGATGAGTATAACACCAGGGGAGTCTAATACCTTGATGTACGGCACGTTTCCTCCGTATTTCTCCTCATCGTTGTGCACGGGAATTATCATGTCTGCCGAGCGATGGAGGAGTTTGTGGCGTAGAGCCATTAGATTTGGCGCTTTTTCGAGAAAACGAATTTGCGGGATTTTGCCAGCAAATATCTTGCAACAAGCGCCAATTGCTCGGGTTACTACATCATGAAAAATGCCTTTCATATTTGGTGTATGTTCTTGGCTTTTGTTGCTAATGCCATTGGCATCATAAAGGAAGGGTGCTGCATGTAGCCAGGAGATTCTGACGTGATCGGGGCAAGTGTAACGATAAACCATACAATCGTCAAAAGCTGGTGGTGTGCCGTGCAAAGACTCATTTGCACTGCGTTTGACGGATCTCCTTCTTCTTCCTTCACAGCTTGATTCAGTCGGTTGTGGAACGTCTTCCTGTAGGTTAACATCGTCCATGCCAAACTGTCCATTCACACCTCCTTGTAAACTACAAAGGAGCAAAAAGGAAACAACAACATGAAAAACTGCGGGCTTCCCCGAGAATCGCCTCATTTTCTTAAGCGCTCGGTGGAGATCTACACGTAACCACTCAGAGAGATGCGAAAACAAACTTACTTAATTTTTAATGCAAATTTACAGAAATTTGCAATTTAAAATCATCGTCCTGTTTTGGAAACGAAAATTAAGAAAACATGCAGGGAAGCAGCATGTTCATAGAATGATCATGTATTGCATTTGTTTAGCCAACCTTTAAAGCTTTTTTATCAATTTAATGTTGTTTTTAGGCTTCTTAGGCCGTCGTCTTCCTAAGTATATCAGGTGCTATATGAGTTTTTGACAAGTAAATTTCTCACCTACGAATTAAGGGTCCGTTAATTTACTTTTATAATCACATGCAGGTGTCATGATCACAAACAAGAGGTATTTATTTTAAGCGTATATCAAACTTGATGTGAAATGATTTGTGTGTAGATTTTAACAATCATGGATTTGAGTAATCTCCGATATTCACCACCACAAAAGTGTAATTGTGTTCAAGAAATGATTTACACTTTCTTTTTTTGTCGGTGTATTTTCTCGAGGTGGATACCAATGAAAAAGTGAACACCGAGAAAATTTTTTTTTTTTTGGTAAAAAAAAGAAAATAATAATAATTTAAAAAAATTAAACAAACACCTCTCAGCTGATCAAAATACACCCCGGTACATGGAGTATTGAATTATTGAATACAAATATAAATTGTTGCATTTAACACCAAGAAAAGTTGACGTTGAAGAAAAGATGAAAACTACGAAAATAATCAAAAAAGGCAAACAACACCAGCTGCTGGTAATGAGCTCATCAATATGCGTGGAAATTGGAGAACTGCAGAGTCACGTAAAGCACTCGTCATCACTACCACAGGGAAACATAAATTACTTCGGAGTCACGAAAAGCAATTTTTATGATAAATATTCACTTTTGCAAGAAAACCGCCAAAAAAATTGATGCCGAGGACACATGAAAAGTAAGAAAAACATAAAAACGTTAAACAACACTAGGAACTCATGACAACACCTAAAGGCTTCATCAGTGCCACATGGAGACATAAATTACCTCAGAGGCAGTAATAAAACATTTTTTACCTTACATGTTCATTGCTGGGTGAAATCCAAATTGAACAACACCTGAAAGCTTCATAAGCACCATATGCAGACACTAATTACTTTGGAGGCACCAAAGACAATTTTTGACGCATTAAATATTCATCATTGCACTAAAGCACCACCAAAAATTGTTTTAGAAAAGATAAAAATTTAAGTTGCCTCTTTCTTAGGGTTAGGTTATGATATTTGTTTTACCCAAGTACATTGTCGTGCTGCTTTCGTTAAGAGTTTTCAAAGTTGCCTTCCTTGTTTTCAATTCGCTTCTTGAGAACTTATTTCCTGTAGCGTTTTTTTTTAACTTGCATCTTGATGACTAATTTCCCTTAAAACATTATGCAAAGTATTCTTTTCAGATCTTGCCTTGATAGCAACTTAATGGTTATTGTTTCCGCGTAATAGAATATTCATATCCTAATACCGGCAAACGCAGTTCATATCACTCAAGCTGGATTGAACTTTTTGCAAAACACTTTGTTAATGGCCAGGGCCGTAGCTTGTAACAGGCAAACCGTTTTTGTTGTATTTTAGTCACCACGAACAACCTTAATTCATAGGAAGAGAATTTAACCTTGGACATAATGATTGCTTCAGTCTTAATTTTTCTGGTTACGGCTCTGATGGCAATGTAGTTACACTGGATGACTAAGTTCCCGTATGACAACTTACACTTGACAGTTTCTGTTAACCCCTGAGAGAGATTATAAGTTTCACGTTTCTGACACTGACTGTCAGTTGTCCAATTCTGTTGACTCCGCTGAGCCTGGCGCGGTTAAAGTTGATGTACTTCTTGTGATTTGTTTTTTGAATTATGATGGTGAACTCATGAGCACTCAAGGTCAGTGCTAAGTTGCTTAAGGTCATTTCACTGAAATAGAACCTGCACTGAGATTTTTGTGAAACTTTGCCTATTGATTGTTTAT